GGACCGCAACGCGACAAGAAATGTTTTGAACAGTTCTTCGGACATGCCGCGTTTCGCGAGTCTTGAGCGCGCGATCATGGTTCGTTTCAACCGCGGCCGGTCGCGTGATCGTGGAAAAACAAAATGCAGAAAACGCCTCCGGTGTTGTGCCTCAACTTTCTTATTTCCAATCTTATATAGTACTAACAAAACGTTTTAACTTTAATGCCGTTTATATAAGAGGGACGATTGAAATCATGAAACGCAGCAGCAGTCAGTTACGGGTTGCCCAATGGAACTGCAGATCCCTGATGGCCCCCGAGAGGAAAATAACCGGAGCAAAACTAGCTGCGTTTCAAAGATTCAGTCGTGCCTTTGACATAATCATTGTAGTAGAGACTTGGCTGAAACCTGACCGTGGATTCGAAGTTGCTGAAGGTTTTAGTGTAATCAGAAAGGATCGAGAACAGCAAGGTGGCGGAGTTGCCATTGTCATACGTAACGGATTGCAATATAAACGTATTTCATGCGTAGATCATCCTATGGAATTTCTTGCAATAAAAGTGATTGGAAAAACGATTGATATTGTCATAGTCGCCTGTTACAGAGCGCCGGGGAATGACCTCACTCCACAAGAATGGAACGACTTCTTTAAAGAGTTTGAAAATCATGGTTGCTTTGTATTGGCAGGAGACTTTAACGCACACCACACAATGTGGAACTGTGTAAAAGTGAATTCGGAGGGAAATAAGCTTCTGAAGGTTATTAGACGTTACAACTGCAAGGTGCATAATACAACGGACCGGTCGCACGTTGGAAATAAGAGATCTCCAGATAGCAATATAGATCTGTTCATTACCGATTCGGAGCTAGCTGATTGTGTAAAAGCTCGTCAATTAGATGATGCAATGGGATCTGACCACTTCCCTATAGAATGCGTCATAGATTTCGAGTACTTGATAAATGACAAGTGCTATCCGAGAAGTGCTTGATAAGATATACTAGTTATTTTTTTTTTCTCTGTTAATCTTATAGATAACATGATACGACTCTATAAAATTAACAGAAAAAAATAAATATCTAGTATAATCTATCTTACACCTAACATACGTGGATAGCACTTGTCTTTAACCAATCACTCAAAAGGCGAAATCCATGACACATTTTATAGGAAAATGATCAGATCCCATTCTGTCATCAAGTTGACGAGTTTTTACACGATCAGCTATATTCGAGTCTGTAATAATCAGATCCACATTGCTCGCTGGACATGTCTTATTTCCAACGTGCGACCGGTCCGTTGTATTATGCACCTTGCAGTTGTAACGTCTAATAACCTGCAGAAGCTTATTTCCGTCTGGTTTCACTTTTTCACAGTTCCACATTGGGTGGTGCGCATTAAAATCTCCCGCCAATACAAAATTCCCGCAATCTTTAATTTGTTTAAAGAAGTCTTTCCATTCTTGTAGAGGAAGTGGTTTACCTGGTGGTCTATAACACCCACCTATAACAATATCATTCGTTTCTCCGATCACTTTTATTGCGAGAAACTCCGTATGAGGATCTCTGCAATGAATTTCTGAAATACATTCATACCGCAATCCGCAGCGTATCAGAATTGCAACGCCGCCGCCTCTCTTATTTTCGCGGTCCTTTCTGATTATTTCGAAACCTTCAATTTCGAATTCTCTGCCAGGTTTCAACCAGGTTTCTGTTAAAATTATTATGTCGGAGGACCAACTTAGTTTTCGTACGGAAGCTAGCTTTAGCTTGGCACTCGCTTTGTCTTGAGGCATTACGCTCCTGCAATTCCAAAGCGCCATCTGTAATTCCCGCTGCGTCATGATTTATCGTCTCCTTATATATACTATTTATGAACGGCATTTTGTTAAAACAATATCGTATTTGGGCTAAACATAGATTTATACCTATTCGCTGGAAAATGACTACGTTTTTCTTTCTGAGGAGTGTTGCCATCAGATATCCCGCTGAAATGAGCTTTTTCGAAGCCAAGTTGATCACGAATTCGAATTTCGCGTCATTAAAATTGCATTTATTACATATAAACCCCTTGCGGTCGGTGCCGCCACAGTGGCGGCATTTTGAAATCGTCGCAGAAGTCGGTGTCGCCCCTGTGGCGGCATTTTGAAATCGTCGCAGAAGTCGGTGTCGCCGCTGTGGCGGCATATTGAAAATGTCATAGAAGTCTGTGTCGCTGCTGTGGCGGCATGATCACACCTCCTAGAAAACAGAAAGTTAGCCATTTTCGGCCTCATGCGTTATTTTACCATCGAGAAATATATGATAAATAAATACGAATAAATTTATAACAATGACTCCGAAAAGCTAAATTTGCGCCGACTTGCTGGTACTCTCAGGTACTGATCCTAATTTGGTGCTAATTAATAATATAGTGCAATGTAATAAAATTTAATGTAGTGCATATAATGCAGTTTATCATGTAAATACCATATTTGGCATGCAGTGTCAAATTATCTGACTCATAAAAGCATCTTTATATACAGTATTTTTTAATATAATCTAAAGTAGAATAGAATGGGTAGAGTTATATTATTAATAATATTTCTTATAAATTTTTTGTAAAGTAAATACATTTAGGAAATGGTACTGTTTAAACAAAATACATAATGAAACATATGCATCCTTTATTTATTTTCATTATAAAGTGTATCAATGTAAAAGTTTGTTTATTCGTTATTGGAATGTTAATAACATTTCAGTTTTACTAATATTGTTTTTTCTGTAATATGTACTTTAATCTTCAGGATATACAACGCCAACTTCACGTCGAATTTCATCCTCCAATCGGGCAATCAGTAAAGACATATCATGCGATACTTTGGGACTTTCAATCAAACCTAAAATTAAATAAATGAGTAGATAATAATTAATACTCTAAAATATTTCTGTAATGTTAAAGTAAGATAATTAAAGTAGTATTGTTCATAATTATTTGTTCCAAATTGGATACTTTTTAATAGAATGTAAAGATACTAATATGAAATTGCAATTTAATACAGAAATCTATTATTATATATTCATTTTTAAGGTATATGATTTCTCATTATAATATCTGTACAAAGAGTACAATACCTTTTAAAATGCAGTTACGTGCTTCTTCAGCTTCAAATCTCAATCCAGCACTGTTAATAAAATTAAATTTATGTTTAGCCTCTGGAAGTGGTGCATTCACAGTGCCACTTGGTAGATCTACAGTTGGAGGGCACCAAAATTGTGGTACTTTTATTGTTCCTTTTGTACCAACAATATAAGCTTCATTAGGTAGATTAACCAGGGAATGAGTAACAATAGTTGCAGTACGATTTCCATCATAAAGTAGGGTTGCAGATACAGATTGGTCAACTCCGTCACTATTTAATATGCCAGCAGCTTTTACAGTATGAGGAACATCATGATTAAATACCAAACAGGCAAACTGTATTCCATATACACCTAAATCTAATATGGTACCACCTCCTAGACTTTTCTGACTAAACAAAATGGAAATAAATACAGTTTGTAATGTATACATTTAGTTTCACTTTCATTTTAACAAAAAATAAAAAAAATACATAATACAGATAAATTATGTAAATGAAATAAATGCAACAGAAATGTACACTTACTTGAGCCTGTCAACATTTGCCAATTGAAATCCAAATGATACAATAACTTGATGAATATCTCCAATACTTCCTGAATCAATCTCTTTTTTAATAGCTTCATATGTAGGGAAGCATCGACTCCAAATAGCTTCCATTAGGAATAATTTCTTCTTTTTGGCTAAATTGACTAATTCAGTTGTTTGTTTGAGATTCATAGTCAAAGGTTTTTCGCACAAGACATGTTTTCCGTGATTCAACATTAATTGCGCAATTTCAAAATGTTGTGGATTCAATGCTCCAATGTATACAATATCTGTTGAAATGAATGAATGCAAAATAATAAAATAATTACCAAAAATAAGTAAATTATTACATATACATTTGAGAAACAATTTTTGACAATAAATAAGTTCCAAGAATTTGGAGTATTTTTGAAAATTTATTTGAGAAGTAAAGAGTTGAAGTAAAGGAATTTTATAGCAATCATAATTATTATTTATTTTCATAATAATCCTACCTTCGAACACATAAAAAGAAAAGCAATTTTATGAAAACAATTGAACACATACCAACATCTTTGTCCTCTGCTAGTTTTGCATAACTATCATATGCTTTTTTAATTTTGTGTAAGCTGGCAAATTGTTGCGCTCTTGATAGGTCTCGTGCTGCTACTGCAACAACCACATGTTGGGATGCTGGTAATATTCCCACAGCATTGACAAAATCATGAGATATTTTTCCTGCACTTGCTATGCCCCAACGAAGAGCCATCTGCAATAAGACAAATTAATTGTTAAACAAATAATATTTAAATAAAGTAGTTATTTAGTGAGATTATAATGTTATAAATTATTTATTAATCAAACTCAGATCAATGAAACTTAGATTATATAATCAAAGTCATTAATTTTCTTATAAAACTTTTATATTTGAAGATACGGTTGAATATAAATTTATATTCAAAAACTTCCTACAGTTTTCATTTTTGTAGATATATGTATAAACACTTTGCGAATAATTATAATAGCTATTCATGATGGTGTGCCATACGAACCTATACAATAAACCTTTAATATAATGCTGAAGTTACAGAAACGACTATATTAATAATAGATTCATTATATTATTTTAATAAAGAAAAAAATGAATATAGAGAATATCTTAAACATATGTATACATTTTTTAATTCTTATTATTTTATTTTAATTTAAGAAGTTTTTATCTGAAGTTAATTTTTAATCCAGAAAGTTTTATTTTGAAGTTATTTTTTAATTTAAAAAGGCTATTTCTGTAAATATTTTTGTGTTAAAAAATTATTATCTTTTGTGAAATGAGAAGTCATAAATAACTTATTTCATAAATTTTTCTTCAAAAATTGGGTGTTTTTAAATTTCAATAAAATACCCTTTGAAATTCTACCTACAAAATGAGTTCTGACCTGTTCTTTCAAATCTTACCTACAAAGTAAGCTCTCTTTTGGGGTGGAGTCTTTAAAATTAGCGTGACAATGAGTTGTTAAAGAACTGAGGTGCCCCGTTTTAAGTAAGTCTCGTGCGACATTATGGTCGGCTGTTTATATCATTTCTTCTCGACATTACGTTCAATGCGAACTAAGAACAATACATTCAGAACAATATCTCATGACCGTTCTTAATAATTTGATTTGCCACCCTTATCCAATGACGCATTTTTTATACTAATCAGATTAACAGATACTTGGTGTATATTTATAAAAAGAGTATTATTGCTAGACAAAAACAACCAAAAGTTTTCTTTCGTTAAAAAAAAATAAATCTGAAAGTTGAAATGAAGAATACGTATAGGATTGTTGTAGATGGTGAATTTAGAGGTAAAAGAAATGTGTTCAAAGCGCAGTACGCTGAAAGAGCCATAATTATCAAACGATTAAATTTTACATAATATTGCTGAATATGATATTGACCTAAAGCTACCGACGAAGCTACACTGTTGCTTAAAATTAAAAGATTAATTCATTTTTACATAGCCTACTGATACGAACAATTCTACTGTTTTTTCTTTCGTATTATATAACATAAAAAATAAACATTATGAGAAGAAATTTTGCAATTTTTGCATACAATAAATTTCTGCTTTTGTTACAAAAAATTCGTAGGTTGAATAAAGCATAAATTTATTTATAAAATGCCCAGTTACTTATAAATTTGTTATAATACGAATTCACTTTAATAATTAATTTTCATACCCTTAACAAGATTTTTAATAAAATTTTCTTCTCACAATTTTAACAATGGCAGATTTTGATTTCCGAAACGTTAAATATATTTTTGTTTCTCTTATAAATTTAGTTCGCATATATCATGTACTTTTAATATTTATATTTGCAGAATATGTCTACCATTTTATAATTGGGTATTCTGGAACCATTTTGTATGACGATGTTGCGGTGAATAGAACATTATTCTGTTGAAACGGTTTGTCCTCATAAAGATTTAATAGTATTTTCCATATTTATAATATTACTATTCGATTTGATATAATTCTCCTTACATTCAATGATATTTATAATCGACGATTTTAAAATGGTATCAACTATTTTGAATTTTGAATATTGCGACCTCTAAGTCATACTGAGTGCCTACACTGAGGTAAATAAGAGCATTATTCTGTTAAAATGAGAACTGTCAGACATACGGGTAAGGTGATTGGAGCTAATATGCACTAATTAGAAACCCTCTAATCAGAGTCACGAAATAATGGTATCGAAATGTGCCGCCATTTCTTAGCGAAATCCGTATTATAGATTAATTTGCAAATAATAGTATATTTCAATTAAAGGATACAAGTTATATAAATAATAAATTTTACTAATAATATATTGTTTTATGTCAACGAAGCATATTTATAAATGTGAGACACAGGTATTTTCACAACATGGAAAGTAAATTTATTTGTAAATAATAATATATATTTATATATTAACACATAAAATTAGAAAAACTAGGTATTCTTTATAGAAAATTCGATTTTGTACCTGTTTGTCATAATTTGAAAATAATAATGTTTATAATATTTATTGTCAGATGTAAAATCGTATATAAGAGAAAGGAAAAAATTTATAAATGAATGATTATCATTCTTAAAAGTAAAATGGATAACAGATTCAGTTAAAAAAGCATTTATTAAACTATTAAATACAATATAAATTATTTTTAATAATATTTTTATTAAAATATTATTTGAATATTTCAATTTTTTATCAAAATGTTATTATAATAAAATTTCGTTAATTGAAAATGAAACGAGGTGATCTAATGATTTACATATGACATTAATCTGTAAATTATTTGTAACTTACTTATAATAAATATTTATTTATAATTTGTAATAAATGCAAGTAAATATTTTTACTTTAAATATTTAAATAATTTATCTGTAATAAATATTTTGTCATTTTCCTATAACGCATTTGTATTTGTAAAATTGATATAAATACTACAAAAGTCTTTCTAATTATTAGAGGTTGACATAAAATTAGATTCACTTGATTTGAATTTCCCGCTCGTCTACATAACCTACTTTGTCGAACGTCAGCTGTCCACAGTGTCATCTTTTGTACCTACTCTTTAAAAAAGGAAAGAAAATATTCAGTATTCTATGATTTCTACTTATATTATCCGTACTGTCATCGCTTTTCTGAAGTTTATCCCGTAACAAATTGTGCCCTAAAATTTTCGGATGTTTCGCCAATAAACTTTGCTTACAAACTACAGAGTTCACAACGTAGCGAACTATTGTGACCATTAATTTGAAATATAAATATAAAAATATAATAATTTTAATTCGTTTGCGTTTTTGTGTAAAAAAGTAATAAAATCCTCTACAATATATTTATTGTCAAATTAAATTGAAGCTTTGAGGATTATCTAAGAATTTTGAAACGTGATATGTCATTTACGTAAGACAAGAATTTTAAAGAATTAAAGACTAGACGTAACAATGGATTATCAATAAAGAAATGCCTTGCATCTTTTATTATCTACAGCTAGGTATAAAAAACTTATTGATAAGATAGACATTTTAGATAAGATAAATCATGAGGTATATTCTGAACAAATTGATGAATTTGTCTAGACAGTAATAAAAAAGTTTAAACAATAAATTCTGAAAACTGTTTCTTGTAAATATTTTCGTAAACACAGTTGTGGAAAATATAAAAAATATATTTAAATATGTTTAAAGTAACTGCAGAAATTAATATTTATTAATTTAAAAATTTCCAAATCCTTACATTTTTTAATATCTCGACGTTCCATATTTCTAAAAATTTCAAAATCCCTAACCCAAAACTTTTAAAAGTTTTAAATTTCCCAAAATCTCAGAATTTTAAAATTTCAAATCTAAAATTTTTAAATCCTCTAATTTATTAGTTTCGAAATTTCTAAATACTCAAATTTCCAGACGTCTAAATATTAGAATTTTGGAATCTGTATATTTTGTCATTTTTCGTTTAATTTCTAAATTTTGTAATTTTTTAATTCTGTGATTTTCAAATTTTTTAATTGTTTAATTTTCAAATTGGTAATTCTGTAATTTTGTAATTTTTCAATTCCCTAATTTTCAAATTTTATAAATTTCAAATTCTTTAATAGAAATCCTTGAATTATAAAAATCTGTAACATATTTACAATTGAATCTTGAAGGAAACAGAATTACACGAATAAAAATATTTTTAGTACTTAATACAATTCATTAGATAAGTATAAAAATTGATTAAAAGAACAAAATTTAATTTTTCTTATTTTGTACGAAACTTTTGAATTACCTCATACGTAATATACAAATAAGAGGTAAAACGTAATATCAATAAAAAAAGATAATAAATTGGGAAAAGATTATTAGAAAATTTTCTAGTATATTCTTCCATGTAAATATATTCTGTAATATTTGTGAGAAAAGAAAAATTAAACAAAATATAAAAATTAATAAAGTAAGATAATGAAATTAGTCAATACACATTATGAAACCTATGGTTTTCTTATTTCAAAAAGAATGGAAAAGTTCTATATCATTATGCAATCTAAAGTTGCGTATTTGAGCTGCGAATGATTATCAATTAGATATTTAGGATTCCCTGTCTTAACCTTAGTCAACTGAACAAACAACTGTTGCGTGGATATGTCAATATTGATATGAATAGAGATTAATTACATTGGTTTTTATTCAGAATAGTGGAAAATATATGACCTGTTACTGTTAATGTGTATTTACGTACGTATTATATATGTATATAAATATCTATCTGGATTTCAAAATCTGAACGAAAAAAGTTACATTCAAGATGGAATCAAGGGGGGTCTAATATAGTAGTTGCAGTCAGATCCACTTTTAAGCCTCCTATTTATACCAAAATAACTGAATTCAACTTTGTACATAGTTTTCCGTCCGAAATAATTAAAAATTGGGAAAAAATTACTAGAAATTAGTAATAATTGACTTAATACTTAATTAATTAATATTAGTAATAATTATATAAAAATTATTTAGAAATACAGTTGGAAATTATTTAAAACAAAATAGAGGTATTCGAAAAACAAGAACAATTTTTATTACGAATGAATAGTTATTTATAGGTTATAAAGTAAAAGCCAAATTTTTAAAAACAACGAATTCAAACATATTTTTATTTAGAATAATATCTTATTTAACATAAAACTTGTATGCAGTTATTTTTGAATAATTAATTTAATCAAACTATAATCAAATCAATCGCATTCTGAATTACTTATTGTTTTAACCATAAGTTATTTTTCTATAAAATTCCAATACGTTTTAAAATTATAATGTATAATTTATTTATGCATATATTTATGTTTACAGAAATTTCGATCATTATCTGAAATCATGTCCATTTCTGTTGAGAAAATTATTTATAGATTTATTAGTTTATAAAGACATGTGTTATTACAAATATTTTGTATTCTTTCCCTCCCTAGCGTTTTTTCAATCAAAGGTAAACAAGGGCCCCTTGAAGCTTTGATAATCCTACTCTCCAAAAATCTTGTACTATGCTCCTGGTCACATTTTAAAAAATTTAGAGAGGTGTAAATCAAGGGCACAAATATCTTTGAATAAAACATCGATTTAGTATTATTTTTGTGCAATTAAAATTTACGCAATTTAAAACAAAATAATTTGTCAGAAAAAGTGAAAGATTTGATTCAAAGAAACATTTATATTGTAAAAAAAATGGGCATATGTTTGACAGTAGGGTTCAATTAAACTTTGAATGAATGTAAATCTTGGCAACTATACATCAATTATTTTCACTTAGCCACCAATTTAAACAAATTAAAAATTTTATGCATCTTGGAAACAAGAATAAAAATTGCAAAATGCAAAATTTTCATTCTTCTACACTCTATAGTAAATTTTATTTAAATTATTTAATAAATTGGCAAGTTTAATACATAGGAATGGTTAAAATATGTAATTGTAAGAAAAAATTAAAAATACAAACTTTTTTTGTATTATAATTCTTTTTAAGAATATTAAATAATATACATAATTCAAAAATTTAACAAAATATAATACAATTAAACAGTATTATTATATTACATTATTGTTGTATTATTATGTATTATATTATATCCATTACGTTAATATTATTATATGTTACGTTACACGTTTTATTATTACATTCAGATATTCCTTTAGTATATAAAAATAAATTATGCCAACTTACAATGTATA